GTGCGTTTGCACAATCGCACGCTCGTCTCGTGTACGATGTCGTGTGTGCGACGTCGTTTGTACGATGTCGTGTGTGCGACGTCGTGTGTACGATGTCGTGTGTGCGATGTCGTGTGTGCGATGTCGTGTGTGCGATGTCGTGTGTGCGACGTCATCGTTGTTGTGTGGCGGCCGGTGCGACAGACAAGGACGCGGAGGCTGGAGCCGCTGCGTCGCACTCAGACGAGGCCAGCGGCACGGACGGCAAGACGCAAGCTGGTACGTGCATTGCTGACGATCCCTTGTGCAGGCGAAACCAGTCTGAAAACACACTACGCAGCGTAATAGTGTAATTAATCTCGTTGAGGCGACTTCTGGAATCCGTCTTTTATTCAACTTGTATTACAGCTTTCCCTCACGCTGCTGACAGGCAGCGTGAGAGGGACAGATAGAGAGAGAGACGCACTGCCACGTGGCAACCCGGAGCCCCGCTCCCGCGTGGCCCCCTTCCTCTGTTCGTTCCCGTTCTGACCACGTGTCGTTCGTCTCCACCCCTATTTAATACCCGGGTCACGTGGTACGTTTCCGCCAATCCTCGTTAGCCTCCATGGAATTTCCAGGCTTCCTCGTCAGCTCCCGAGACCACGCCCTGACTCATCTCCCCATTGGCTGTGGCCAAAGCCAGCAGAACCAATCCTTACAGCTGTCACCTTTCCATTACGTCAGGGCCACGCCCCTGACTCGTCTCCCATTGGCTGTGGCCAAAACCAGCAGAACCAATCCTTACAGCTGTCACCTTTCCATTACGTCAGGGCCACGCCCCTGACTCGTCTCCCCATTGGCTGTGGCCAAAACCAGCAGAACCAATCCTTACAGCTGTCATCTTTCCATTAGGTCAGGGCCACGCCCCTAGGCTTCCCCCCATTGGCTGTAAACCAGGACCGGCAGAGCCAATCACCATGACGAGTTGTGATACGTCAGTGAGCCGGATATATCCTCACATTACAATAGTACTACGATGGTTTCTTTTTCAGAAGCAACCTGGCCATAAATGATAGCTCAACGAAGTGGCTTATCATCGCGTGGAAATTCATAGCAGTCAGATACTCGCATGGCGATGTTGATTCTCAATGTGGAGGGAAAAACCGGAGGAGCCGGAGAAAAATCCACGCGACCACGGGGAGAGAGAGACACGCAACTCCAAATATACAGGTGACAGGGTCGGTAGCGAACCCACGACCTCCTGTAGACCAGGTGAGGTAGTTAACATCTCCTAGCCACTGTGATGATGATGATGAGAGCGACACGCAAGCAAACTCCAAATGTCCAGCAGGCGTCAGGGTCCGCATCGAACCAACGACCTCCTATATGCCAGGCGAGGTAGTTAACATCTCCTAGCCACCGTGATGATGATGAGAGAGAGAGACACGCAAACTCCAAATGTACAGCAACAGGCGTCAGGGTCCGCATCGAACCAACGACCTCCTGTATACCAGGTGAGTGGTTAACATCTCCTAGCCACCGTGGTGATGATGAGAGAGAGAGACACGCAAACTCCAATGTACAGCAACAGGCGTCAGGGTCCGCATCGAACCAACGACCTCCTGTCTACCAGGCGAGGCAGTTAACATCTCCTAGCCATCCATATAGAGTGTCCTGGCTGCACTGCACTGGCGATCCCATAAGAGGGAATCCAGAAGAGGCAGCCAGGCAGGGTAACGGCACCGCGTGCCGCACGGCCGTCGTGCCGGGTGACGCGGCCGCACTACGCCGGCGATCCCTACCGCGGCCGAGGCCCGGCGCGTGCTGCACGCGTGTCAATAAGAGCTTCACGGCTCATCGGATTCCTGCGGCACGACCCAACATCTTGATTCTGCGCAGGCGGGAGGGAGGGGGATTTGGCGGCGGCGACGGCGGCGACGGCGGCGACGACGGCGGCTACGCCGGGGCCCCTGGGCGGGCGGGGCGGTGAGGACGGCCTCTCGGAGCTGCTGGGCCGCAGCGACACGGCCGTGGTGTACCCCGAGGACCCCGAGGACACGCCGCCCCGGCGCAGGCACCGCCGCCGCCACCGCCGCCGCCGTGCAGCAGAGGCAGAACGGTGAGGTCATGGAGCGCGGTAGGAGTGGTGAGCGTGGTGAGCGTGGTGAGCGTGGTGAGCACACGCCGTGTACGGGCGTACACACACACACTCACGCGTACGGTGTACACACACTCACACGTACGGTGTACACACACACGCGTACACACAGACAGTGTACACACACACACACGGTGTACACACACACAGTGTACACACACACACGGTGTACACATACACATGTACGTGTACACACACACAGACACACACACGGTGTACACACACACACAAAGTCTCGTGCCGTCCATCCTAACTCCTCGCATTTTTGTCCAAATCCACCGTCCCCTCCTCCCCCTCCTCCTCCTCTACAAATCCCCCACCTATGCCCCCCCCCCATCTCTCTCCCCCTCTGCCCCCCCCCATCTCTCTCCCCCTCTGCTCCCCCCCCCCCAGGCCTGGTGTCGGAGCTGGGTGAGAGCTTCCCGCGGCTGCTGCCGTGCCCGTACTGCGAGCGTGGCTACAAGCGGCTGGCGTCGCTCAAGGACCACATCCGGCACCGTCACCACGGCGACGACGACGACGACGACGACGACGGCGGCTTCGCCTGCTCGCAGTGCTCCTCGGGGTTCCCCACGCGCGGGACAGCTGGAGCGACACTCGGCCTCGCACCGCGCCGCCACGCCCTCGCAGGTGGCAGTGAGGCGGTGTCGCTGTGGGGGTCGGGGGTCATTGGGTTATTGGCCGTGCCACGCCCTTCGCAAGGTGGCAGTGAGGTGGTGGTCGCGGCGGGGTCGGGGGTCATTGGGTTATTGGTCGTGCCACGCCCTCGCAGGTGGCAGTGAGGCGGTGTCGCGGGGGGTCGGGGTCACGGGTTGTTGGTCGGCCACGCCCTCGCAGGTTGGCAGTGAGGCGGTGTCACGGGGGGTCGGGGGTCATTGCGGTTATTGGCCGTGCCACGCCCTCGCAGGTGGGCAGTGAGGTGGTGTCGCGGCGGGGTCGGGGGTCATTGGGTTATTGGTCGTGCACGCCCTCGCAGGTGGCAGTGAGGCGGTGTCGCGGGGGGTCGGGGGTCACGGGTTGTTGGTCGTGCCCGCCCCTCAGCAGGTGGCAGTGAGGCGGTGTCGCTGTGGGGGTCGGGGGTCACAGGTTGTTGGTCGTGCCACGCCCTCGCAGGTGGCAGTGAGGCGGTGTCACGGGGGGTCGGGGGTCATTGGGTTGTTGGTCATGCCACGCCCTCGCAGGTGGCAGTGAGGTGGTGTCGCGGGGGGTTGGGGGTCATGGGATTGTTGGTCGTGCCACACCCTCGCAGGTGGCAGTGAGGTGGTGTCGCGGGGGGTCGGGGGTTACGGGATTGTTGGCCGTGCCACGCCCTCGCAGGTGGCAGTGAGGTGGTGTCGCTGTGGGGTCGGGGGTTACGGGATTGTTGGCCGTGCCACGCCCTCGCAGGTGGCAGTGAGGTGGTGTCGCGGGGGGTCGGGGGTCACAGGTTGTTGGTCGTGCCACGCCCTCGCAGGTGGCAGTGAGGCGGTGTCACGGGGGGTCGGGGGTCATTGGATTGTTGGTCGTGCCACACCCTCGCAGGTGGCAGTGAGGTGGTGTCGCGGGGGTTGGGGGTCATGGGATTGTTGGTCGTGCCACACCCTCGCAGGTGGCAGTGAGGTGGTGTCGCGGGGGGGTCGGGGGTCACGGAGTTGTGGGTCGTGCCACGCCCTCGCAGGTGGCAGTGAGGTGGTGTGGCGGGGGGTCGAGGGTTACGGGGTTATCAGGAGGTCGGGTTGCTGCATCTAACTGGACGCAGAGAACGTAGAAGTAAGGCAAAGCTTCCACGTAGAAGAAGACGACCTGATGATGATGATGATGGTGGTGGTGCAGGCGGTGATGAGAAGGAAACTTGGCACTATTTGGACACATATGTAGGATGGAAAGTGCGTCGTTGTTGTCGTTGTTGTTGTTGTCGTTGTCGTTTTTGTCGTTGTTGTCGTTGTTGTCGTTGTTGTTGTTGTTCGGCAAAAAATGGAAGGAACCGAAAGAGAGAGGAAGACCTCACACAGAGAGAGAACGCCTTGAGGGCGGCGACGTCTTGAGGAGATTTTAACCAGGGGGGGGGGGTGCGACCACCGCTTGCGCCACACACACTGTGGCGCTGCAAGACGTAGAGGACGAGCAGTGGGCACCTACTGGCTCTCTGCTGCCCCATGGATCGTGACGACGACGACAATGATGATGACGATGATGACGATGATGATGATGATGATGACGATGACGATGATGACGATGATGACGACGATGACGACGATGACGATAACGACGATGACGGTGACGACGATGATGATGATGACGACAACGATGACGACTATGACGATGATGACGATGATGATGATGACGACGATGACGACGATGACGACGACGATGATGATGATGACGATGATGACGATAATGATGACGATGATGACGATGACGACGACGACAACGATGACGACGACGATCACGATGACGACAACGATGACGACGATGACGATGATGACGACGATGACGATGACGACGACGACGACGACGATGACGACGGTGTATAAATGATGCTCACTCGACGGGGCCGGATCCCTGACCGGTCGGCGTATCCCCCCTCCCCCCCCTCCCCCCTCCCCCCCTCCCCCCTCCCCCCCTCCCCCCTCCCCCCTCCCCCCTCCCCCCCACCCCCCTCCCCCCTCCGCTGTAGAAGCAGAGCGGCAGCCGCAAGTTCAGCTGCACGGAGTGCGGCAAGGCCTTCAAGTACAAGCACCACCTCAAGGAACACTTCCGCATCCACAGCGGTGAGCAGCCGGCTCCTCCCTCCCTCCGCAGGTTCCTTCACTCCGGCTCCTTCATTCTGGATCCTTCTCTCTCGGTCCTCCTCTCTCTGAATCATTCTCTCTGAATCCTTCTCTCTGTGTCATTCTCTCTGAGTCATTCTCTCTGCATCATTCTCTCTGAATCCTTCTCTCTGTGTCATTCTCTCTGAATCATTCTCTCTGAAGCATTCTCTCTGAATCATTCTCTCTGAGTCATTCTCTCTGCATCATTCTCTCTGAATTATTCTCTCTGTGTCATTCTCTCTGAATCATTCTCTCTGAAGCATTCTCTCTGAATCATTCTCTCTGTGTCATTCTCTCTGCATCATTCTCTCTGAGTCATTCTCTCTGACTCCTTCTCTCTGAATCATTCTCTCTGAATTATTCTCTCTGAATCATTCTCTCTGAATCCTTCTCTCTGTGTCATTCTCTATGAATCATTCTCTTTGAGTCCTCCTCAACGGGTCCTACCCTCGGAGTCCTTCCCTCCGGGGTTCAACCATCGTGGATTTTCGTGAGGAGCTCACAGAACCTGGAGAGGTCTGGACGCGGTCCCATCGGTGAACTCTGCAGGTTGGCGAGGATGCTGGGTCACGTGGCCTCGCGTGCCCGGTACGCCAACGTCGCCACTGGGTCGGCCGTCCACCGCCTCGCAGGCTTCTCCCTACGGCCCCGTGAAGGCTACGCGGGGGACCTTTGTCTGTGTCTCGTGCAGGCGAGAAGCCCTACGAATGTCCGCACTGCAAGAAGCGCTTCTCTCACTCCGGCTCCTACAGCTCACACATCAGCAGCATGAAGTGCGTCGGTCAGACCGTGACAAACGGCCGCGCCCGCCCCGACACCGTCACCGCCGCCGTCACCGCCACCACCACCACCACCACCACCACCTCAACCACCTCAACCACCGCCTGCGGCGTCGCCGACAACGGCGCCGCCGCCGCCATCCAAGTTGCACACAACGGTGTCGCGCCAGCGCCCGTCGCCTCGGCGCTCTCCATCGCCCCGGCGTCCGTCGTGTCCGCGCTGACGCCAAAACCTCCGGCCGTCGCCGGCAACGCGACGCCGGCGCCGCCGCCACCGCCGCTTCTCAAATCGCCGCCGCCGCCGAAGCTCCAGCCACCCCGGCAGCCGCCGCCGGCGCCGCCGAGCCTGCGCGTGGTGTGGCCGGCACCCGGCGGCGGCGGCGGCGCGGCGGGGCAGCCCGGCGCGTTCTGCCGGCAGATGGCGCCGATAACCGTCTCGGTGGCGTCGGTGGTGTCGGCCCCTTCGGCGGGAAATCGGTTTCCCCCGCCGGTGCTGGCGCTGCCGGCGCCGCTGCCCGTAATGTCGCGCGCCCCAACGCTGCCCCCGCTGCCCTCGGCGTCGCAGCCGATGCAGCAGCAGCAGCAGCAGGTGTCCACCATCAGCATCCAGGCGCTGCCCATGAGCGCGGCGGGCGCCGGCTTGAGCTCGCCGCACCCCGTCACCGTCACCACCCACACCATACCGATGCACCCGCACTCCCAGCTCACCTTCTCGCTGCCATTCAAGTTCCAGGACGTGCCCGGCGGCGCTGGCGGCGCTGGCGGCGCTGGCGGCGGCGCGAAGCTGCTCCCCGAGGTGCTGAAGCTGGACGGCTGCCTGCTGCTGCCGCAGGACCTGGTGGGCAACCTCGTCGGCCTGCCCGGCCCCTTCCTGGCCGGCGCCGGCGGTGCCGCCGTACAGGTGCCGCAGGGCCTGCTCGTCGACCCGGGCCTGCTGGGCCTGCGCGGCCTGTTCGGGCGCGAGTTCGACGGCGCCCACGAGGTCGTCAGGATGGTGACGCTCCCGCAGCAGCAGCCGGCGCCGCCGCCGCCGCCGCTGCAGCCCCGACCGGCGCCGCTCGACGAGGTCGCTCTGCGGGTGCTGGCGGCGCCCGTCCCGCAGCCGGCGCCGGGAGGCGGCTCCGCCGGCGCGCCCCCGGGGCTCCGGCGCGGTCCGGGCGAGGAGGAGATGGCGCCGCCGCGTCCACCGCCGCCGCCGCCGCCGCTGGTGCTCAAGCCGGACTCGGATCCGGAGCGGCGCTCGAAGGGCGGCGCCGGCGACTCGCCCGGCCGGCCGAGGACTAAGGACGCCGGTACCGGGGGCGCGGCGCCGGTACCGGCAGCGGCGCCGGTCGAGCGTGAGGGCGGCCCCGACCGAAGCATCTCGGACCTGGTGGGCCTCATCAAGGACCTGCTGGCGGTGCTCAAGGCGCTCAACTCGAAGCTGAGCGGCGAGGACGTGTCCAAGCTGGTGCCCTTCCCCGCGCACTTCCTCAACAACGGCGGCGGCAACGGCGGCACCGGCTGGACGGAGGTGCACAAGCTGTCGAGCTTCATCGCGCGGCTGCTGGAGCAGGTGCGCGCCGACTCGGCCGGCGAGCCCGCCGGCGCCGCGCCGGCAGGCTGTTGCTGCGAGGCCTCGGCCCGCGCCGTCGCCGGCAGCTGCGCCATCGAGGGCTGCGCCAAGCCCGTGGCGCCGGCGCAGCCCGAGCGGCGGGACGGCTTCAAGAGGCTCCTGGCGGAGCTGGACGCGGCGGGCGCCGTCGTCGGCGAAGGAGACGGCGCCGGCGGCGACGCGGGTGAGCAGCCGCTGGACCTCACCGTGCCGCGTGTCAAGCGGATGAAGTTGGAGCCGGAGTTACCGCGGGACGGCGGCGGCGCCGGCGATCGCGCCGACGACGTGGAGACGGCGCCCGTCGACGGCGAAGAGGCCGGCGCCGTCGACCGGAGCTTCGCGGCGCCGGCAGAGGAGCCCGCCGACCCCGCCGACCCCGCCGAGACGGAGGCGGCGCCGCCAAACGACCACCGGCCGGCGCCGCCGCCGCCGCCGCCCGCCGCCGGCGCCGTGGTGTCGATCGCCGAGCCGACGGGCTTCAACCTCACGCTGCTGGAGTCGACGCCGCTCATTGTGACGTTCCTGCCGGGGCCGGGCACCTTCGTGGAGAGCGTGACGGCGCTGCCGCGGCCCAGCGTGCCGCAGGGCGTGGCGGCGGTGACCTACGGCTGCGCGCCGGCGCTCACCGCCGGCAGCTGCCGGCCCGCGACGGAACCGGCAGGATTTGACGTGAGAACCGGCGCGGCACAAACTCGGGCACGGGCGCGCGAGCGACCGGAGCGGAAGTTATTCGTTGGGTTGTTTTAGTTCTTCCCCACCGTGCGATTCAGTTGGCGCGATTAAGGATCACAGTTTGGTTAGACAATAAATTAATTTTTTAAATTAAAAAAAAAGTTTTTCTCAACCTGATGGCGGTCGCTTGTGTTGCAATCGAAACGTCGTCGTTTTTTGTAATTTTTTTGAACCTCTCTACGTGACTTTACCGAAAGACCCAAAGAATATGAATTCCTGCAGTCACGAAAGCTTAAGTCAAGAGCCTCCGACATGTTAAACCATGAGAGTCTTTGTTTCTCTTTGAAGGTCTATGGGTCTGTATGTGGGTCTACGGGTCTCTATGTATGTTTATGGGTCTCTATGAAGGTCTATGGCTCTCTGTGTGAGTCTACGAGTCTCTGTGTGAGTATATGGGTCTCTGTATGAGTCTATGGGTCTCTGTGTGGGTCTATGGGTCTCTGTGTGAGTCTAGGGTCTCTGTGTGAGTCTATGTGTCTCTGTGTGAGTCTATGGATCTCTGTGTGAGTCTTTAGGTCTCTGTGTGAGTCTATGGGTCTCTGTGTGAGTCTATGGGTCTCTGTGTAAGTCTATGGGTCTCTTTGAAGGTCTATGGGTCTGTATGTGGGTCTATGGGTGTATGTGTATGTCTATGGGTCTCTATGTAAGTCTATGTGTGAGTGTATGGGTCTCTATGTAGATATATGGATCTCTGTGTGAGTATATGGGTCTCTGTGCGAGTCTATGGGTCTCTGTGCGAGTCTATGGGTCTCTGTGTGAGTCTATGGGTCTCTGTGTGAGTCTATGGGTCTCTGTGCAAGTCTATTGGTCTCTATGTGAGTTATTGGTGACTGGCCTGGGAGCATCAACTCACGACACTCAAGAACGCCGCTTAATCACAGGTGGATGTAACCTGGGTTCGAACCCAGGCTCTCCGCCACGCCGCCTCTCTGAGACAACCCGCCCACCTCCGTCATCGTCGTCCCATTGCGTCTGAGCGAGCGCGTCTTTGCACGCCGATGTATCCGCGACCAATATATAGTTGTACCGGCGGTGGGCCTTGCGTAGTCAGGCTTTGCCTCCGATGTTTACCGTGTCAGGGCCTCCCTCCGCGTGGGTAGCGGGGGGGGGGGGCGTGACCTTTGTGCTTGCGGGCGCTGGTGACGTTCCTCAGGTCGAGGCCGAGGATGGAGCGGCCTCCGGACCGGACGAGCTCACGGACTCGGACTCGGGCGGTGGACCTCGCCTGCTGGGGCGACTGGGCGCCCTCGGAGGGGGTGGCGGAGGTGGGGCCCTGCAACTGGCGGGCGCCGTGGGGGGCGCCGTGGTGGGGGGCCTGGTGGGGGGCCTGGTGGGGGGGGTGGTGGGAGGCGAGGGGCACGGGTTCCCGTGCGATCTGTGCGACAAAACCTTCCAGAAGAGCAGCTCGCTGCTGAGACACAAGTACGAGCACACAGGTAACGAGGCCACGGGACGTCATCTCCGTCATCATCTACGTCACGTCACGGGCCATGACGTCATCATCTCCAACACGTCACGGGTCATGACGTCATCATCATCTCCATCACATCACGGTTCATGTGGAAATCCATAGCGGCCAAACACTCTAAACGCGTGACGTCGATTCTAAATGTGGAGGGGGAAAACCAGAGGACCCGGAGAAAAATCCACGCGACCACGGGGGTGATATGTAACCTTCAAACATACAGTAGCGGGCGTGGGGGTCGGGATCGAACCCACGACCTCCTGTACACCAGGCGAGGTAGTTAACATCTCCTAGCCACCGTGATGATGAGAGAGAGAGACACGCAGACTCCAAATATACAGCAGCAGGCGTCAGGCTCAGGATCGAACCCACGACCTCCTGTATACCAGGCGAGGGAGTTAACATCTCCTAGCCACCGTGGCGCCCTTTATCACGATCGGGGGGATGACGGATAACGAGAGGGGCGGGTAACGACGTAACGAAGGGGTAACGATGCCGCGGGCAGTGAGGCGACGGTCGACGGTAACCGCTGCCTCGTCGCTGGCGACGCGATGGAACGACTCGCGACCCCTCAAAACCCGCCGCGCCTTCGTGCGTTCGCCCCTCCCCGCCCCCCCCCCGCCCCCCCCCCTTGCCCCCGAGCAGGTAAGCGGCCGCACGAGTGCCAGGTGTGCGCCAAGGCCTTCAAGCACAAGCACCACCTGATCGAGCACTCGCGGCTGCACTCGGGCGAGAAGCCCTACCGCTGCGACCGCTGCGGCAAGCGCTTCTCGCACTCGGGCTCCTACTCGCAGCACATGAACCACCGCTACTCCTACTGCAACCGCGACGGCGCCGGCGGCCTCATCGCCGACCGCCGCGGCCGCCGTGGCCGCGGGCGCCGGCGACGCCGACGGCGGCGGCGCCGTGGGGACGCCGCAGAACCTCGCCGGGCCCGGCGACGTGGCCGTGATGCTCCTGCACAACGGGGCCGGACTGGGTAACGAGGTGGATGACGAAGAGGATGTGGAGGACGAGGAGGAGGAGGATGACGAGGAGGAGGAGGGATGAGGAGGAGGAGGAGGAGGAGGAGGGAATCTACTTGGAGGATGTTGGCACTTGCACGTCGATCAAGGTGGAGGTGAAGAGCGAAGAGGCGGCGAGGGACGAGGTGGGCGGGGAGGCGAGCGGTGGGGTCGAGCCGTCGTCGTGGGCGACGGGGGTGGGAGGAGCGGTGGTGCCCTGGATGGGGGAGGGCGCCTGGAACGTCGGACAGGGGGAGGCGGCGGTTGGTGAGGCTGATGGCGGAGGAGGAGGAGGAGGAGACGGAGGAGGAGGAGGAGTGCAGGGAGAAGCGTCGCTGGAACTGGGAGATGAGGAACGCGCACTTGGAGTGGAGCGGGGACTGCAGCAGGCACATAGAGTTGGGGGTGAGCGGGAAGTCGATGTGGGAGTGGAGGGGGACCTCTTGGAGGAACACAAGGAGGAGCGCGAACCAGGGGCGGAGCTGGGAGAGGAGGAGGAGGAGGGGGGGGAGCAGCTGGGACGAGAGGCAGCAGCAGCAGGAGCAGCAGCAGCAGGAGCAGCAGCAGGCGATGAAGATTCACATCTCATGGACACGTCACAGACGGAGACGCCTGGTGCGGGATTCCCCCGGACTGAGGAAGACGGCGACGACGACGACGACGAGGTGGAGGAGGAGGTGGAGGAGGAGGTGGAGGAGGAGTTCCCGCGGGAGGATCACCCTCCGGCCGACGACGGCGTGATGGTGACGATCGTTCCGGACGAGCCGGGAGAAGCTCTCGGCGGCATCGTCGCCCACGGCGGCGGCGGCGGGGACATCGACGCGGGCGACGACGACGACACCGACTTCATCAAGCTCCTCCTCACCGCCGCGGCCGCCACCGCCGCCTCGGAGCACCCGGCCACCCGGGGGGAGCACCATGACCAGGAGGAGGAGGAGGGGCAGGAGGAGGAGGAGGAGGGTGTCCTCGTAGTCATCGAAGAGGAGGAGGAACTGGAAGAGGCGATCGATGCGGGTGGAGACCCGGGGAGCCGGCCGATCTCCCACGAGGAGGAGGAGATGGAGCAGGAGGAGGAGGGGGTGGAGATGGAGGAGGCAGCCGTGGGTGTAGAGGAGCGCGCCGATGAGATGGAAGCAGAGACCCTCGTCGGCGCTTGTGCCCGAGCGGCGGGCACAAGCGCCGTGCCCCCGTGAGCGCCGCTCTCCCGGCGACGACGCCGGCGGCGATCGCGGCGCGGCGCTGTCGTGGCGAGAGGTTCCAACTCCAGCGCCGGCTCCTGGCCCTTGCCTCGCTTGCCACCAGCAGCACCACCACGCCACACACCCCCCCCCCCCCCCCCCGTGCCACTCCCGACGATGCCTCCTCCTGCTTCTCCTGCTCCTCCTGCCGGACTGAAGCGTCTCGCGGCGTCGCTCGCCATCGTCGCGTCCTCGCCCTCCGTTTGTCGTCGTGGTCGTTGCCGGCCGGCCAGCGTGCGTTAGTCCGCACGCACGCACGCCACTGCGCGTGCGTGGCCACGTCTGCCGTCTCTAGAGAGAGCCGTGGGGGGGGGGTCTGGCGCGAACCGACGGACACGACCGCGTTCACTCTGCGCCGTGAGCTCCATCATTCAGAGGCCCATCCCCTCTCTCCTCCCTGCCGCTCTTCTCCTGCAGTCCGAGTCCGGTCCACGATGACCACGTGCCCCCCCCTGCTGCCCCCCCCCCCCCTACTAACAGTCACCAGATGCCCTGACCCTGAACCGAGTCACCACCAACTTGTGACCGTGGGCAGTGACCGGGACGGGGAGACCCATCACCCCCCCCCCCCCCCTCTGCTCCACCCCCCACTCCTCCTCCTGCTGCCCCTCGTATGCATGGCGAAGATTTCCGCGGGATTGTCCGCGCGCGTGCAAAAAAAACGAATGTTGTTGTTCCGTCTTTTCCCCATTTTTTTTTAAACAAAAACAAAAACGTTCATCGGACAAAAAAAAGAAACCCTCCTTGCCAACGTAGTGAGACCCAGCGAGGCGTCTCCCCCTGGGCTAAAATGAAGGATGTATTATTGTTGTTGTTGTTATATGAGTATTACGGTAACCTTAGAGTGCACGTTTCATCCCGATAAAAACGCCGCCCTCAACGAACCTCGATGAGGTTACCCCCCCCCCCTCCCCATGGCGTGCATCGTCCGTATATTTTTTAACCGAGATGACCCCGATACTGTTACGACGATGTAGATGAAGACGATGTAGATGACGACGATGTAGATGTAGGGTAGTCGCAGAGCTCGTCGTGATATCTTCACTGCTTTTACCCAAAAGAAAGCCATTCTGCTCAGGAAACTGCCTCCCTCTGAACCCCCCCCTGACCCCTGACCCCCCTCCCCCGGCCCCCAGATCCAGTAGGTGTGTGTGCTCGGGGTAGCGATCTTTATATCTACCCTGGAGAGAGTTGATGATGGTTATGAGGATGGCTGATGGCTGATGATGGATGAAAATGATGATGATGATGATGGTGATGAAGGGCGATGTTGGCTGATGATCATCATGGTGATGGATGATGATGATGATGGTAGATTATGGATGATTATTGATATTGGATGACGTTGGTGGTGGTGGTGGTGGTTAGCTTGGAGCTAGGATAGGGGAATGGGGTGGCAGATGTTGGTAGCGTGCACCTCTTCGCTCGGAGGAGGTGGCACCACCGCTGATCGTGCCCTCGCGACGTTCACACTTTTCCGTTCGCCTCCACGCCACGTGTGCGTGCGGACAGCACTTGCCCCAAACAGTCTGCGTAGGCCGTACGGGGGATCTTTGTCTCTGCGTCAGCGGTTGACGCGTCCCGCTACGAACCCCGGCACACCCGAGTTCGATTCCCGCTCGGGGCCAAACACCCAGTGACGAGTATCTGAATCTGTTCTGGGCCCCTCCTAGGTCGACGCAGCCTCAAATGAGTACCTGGTGCGGTGTGTAAAGCGGCGCTACTGGGGAGACAAAGGTGGCGGGGCGTGGCGCTGGCAACCCACCTTCTCTAAACAGCGCCCTTGCCCCAGCGGTCTGTTGAGGCTACACGTGGGGATCTGTGTCCTTGTGTCAGGAACTCAGACGAGGAGTTGTCAGGGGCCAGTTGTCCGCGTGTCTGGTTTTAAATCGGTTCCGCTTCCGCGGTGATTGTTTTATCAAGTGAACTCGGCTGCCGAGCGTCGTCGGGGAAGAGACGTCCAGTTCCGTTCAGACAAATGCACCCAGCGAATGCACAGCTACTCGCATCCCGAGCAATGGAACACGTGAGTGCAAGTGTGTGCGTGCGTGTGCGTGTGTGCGTGCAAGTGTGCGCGCGTGTGTGTGTGTGCGCGTGCAAGTGTGTGCGCGCGCGTGTGTGCGCGCGTGCAAGTGTGTGCGCGCGCGTCTGCGTGTGTGCGTGGAAGTGTGCGCGCGCGTGCAAGTGTGCGTGCAAGTGTGTGCGCGCGCGTGTGTGTGTGCGTGCAAGTGCGTGTGTGTGTGTGGGGGGGGAGCGGTGGCGCAGCGGTTAGCGCTACGCTGCGCTGCGAACCCGGTGATCCGAGTTCGATTCCCGCTCGCGGCCCAACACCGGTGACGATTATCTGAGCCGGTCAAAGGCCTCCCCTAGGTCGACTCAGCTTCAAACGAGTAGCTGGGTGCGATGTGTGAATATCGCCCCTGGGGAGACAAAGGCGGCCGAGCGTGGTGCTGGCCACCCACCCCTCGTGTGCTGTGCCGGCCTTCACAGGTGCTCCTCGCTAACAGCACTTGCCCCAACAGTCTGTTAAACATACACGGTGGGGGGCGGGGGGGGGGGGGGCGTTGTCTTTGTGTGCATGTTTTACCTACGCGTGCGTGTGTGTGTGTTTGTGCCATTTGTCCCGGGGGGGGGTAGCCCCCGTGCCATCCGCCCATCTTGGCGTGGCCGCGTTTGTTGACGTCCGAGTTGGCACTGCGAGACGTCGCCTCGCGCCTCGAGCGCTCATCCGGCCTGTCCGAGCCCGGGACCCGCGTGTGTCCGTGACCTTCCCCCCCCCCTTGCTGTCCCCAAATCTCCCCGTCTCTCCATGTCCCCGTCCTTCTGTCTCCCTGTCTCTGCCCCCCGTGTGAGCGTCTTCACAGAAACGTGTCCGCTATGAGCCAAACCTGTTCCTGTTGCCGCGATTACTACCAGTATTATTATATTACTACAGTATTTCTCGTATGATTATGATTATTGCAGTATTATCTTTATTATTTAAGGATTTAAGTGGGCCATATTCGTACAGTATTGCTGTAACAGTGTTTTAAGGGCGCCGAGAGTGAGAGAGACGCCGATGCCGCCGCCAAAAATAGCGAGCGCGGTGAATTTCGTTGGGGGGGGGGGATTAATGAATCCACCTGTGTGGAGTCGCGTTGCGTTTTACAGAGCCTCGATCTCGATGCTAACGACCGACGCGTAATATTCGGTCCGGCGGTGAGGAATGTCGGTAACCAAACACAGCAGACAATTCGTCTCACCTCCTGTGTGTGTGTCTCTCCTCCTGAAGCGCCAAAGTGTTTTTCTGCTCATACCATCAGCCACAAGATTCTGGGGGATTGGCTTGTGCGTCTATCTTATTCAACACGGGCACACACACACAAAAAAAACTCTGGACCGGTTTCGGCTAAACGGTGTCTCATCAGCAAGCAGCGGCGCGGTCAGGCTTTGCTGAAACCGATGCCGGCGAACTACCCAGATGTGTCTTCTTGGTTATTTCGGTAAAGTCACGTAGAAGAGAAGTAATAAAATAATAAAAATAAAACAATAAAATAATTCTCACGACGTTTCGGCCACAACGCAAGCAGCCGTCTTCAGGTGGAGAACACGTCTGTCGAGAAGGCAGTCTGAAAGACAGACCTGTTTTCCACCTGAAGACGGCTGCTTGCGTTGTGGCCGAAACGTCGTGAGAATTATTTTATTATGTTTTATTTTATTACTTTATTACTTTCCTTCTACGTGACTTTACCGAAAGAACCA